ACCAAGCAACTATAAGGTAAAGGTACATATTTAAGAAAAAATTTTGATTAAAACTATTTGTGCAAATAAAATTTTAGTTTCACCGTTTATTCATTTTTAGGGAAAAAGTATGTAAAATTATATATTCTAAGAAATTTATAAAATATTTATTGCCTGATCATGATGTAATAATACCAAAACTAATAATATCAGCTAGTTTAATAAATGTCTTGAGCATTAGATCTAATTATCGTAGTCCTCAAAATAAGTCAACAAAATTCCAAGATCCAACGTGTATTGCTTGCGTTCGATGACATCATACTGTTGATCATTCATACTTTCGTTGCGCACTCTAATTTCCTCAATATTTTCAGTTTTCTCTATACTAGACTTCAATTAGACATAAGATTATCCATAGATCTGACATCCTAAATGATAAACTTGAAATGTACTATAGAGATCAAAACTTACAAAAAGAACACCCTAAGTACCCTTTTATTATTATTATTCTTTTTTTTTTGTAAGTGTCAATCATATCTAGTAGGTGGGCTTGGTTACCTTTTCAACTTAACATATATATATAGTCACCACTTACTTACTAAAAGTAATCATCATCTCAATACCTGAGGTCATTCCAGTAAATTCGTAACATAAAATTCTAATACCATTAAATGCTATGGAGTCACTTATTTTCTTTTAATCCCTTATCCATTTCATTCCAATTCTCAAAATCACAAATATCTTCAGTATCTTTATACCTACTTCCAACTATTACAACTTGAGCTATAATACTACTAAATATCATAGGAATCTCTTGATCGTTTGGCATCTCCATTCCATTTCCAAAATCATTAATATCCAAGCATCATTTCTGAAACTTTCAGATTATAAAACCTAAGCTCTGATACAACTAAAAAAAAAATCACAGCAATCTCTTATTTCTTTTGATTTATTTATCCATTACCTTTTAATTTCCAATAGACAATACTTCAAATACACATAATATTTCCTACACGTCCGACATCTTAAACGTAGAGTGTACTACCAAAATTACATCCAATAAAAGGACATCATAAACACCAATTGTACCATTTCAACTATTCACACATGCAAATTTTCAAGCCTATTTATTTGGTCACAATTGATCATTTCCTAGGATATACTTCATCTAAAGAGTAAATCGTACCTCAAACTCTGTTATCGTTAAATATTATGAAAATCTCTTATTTCACAATATTCTATCCAACCTCATTCCCATTTTCTAAAATCACTAATATTACAAATATCATTCAACATACATCTAGATCGCATAACCTAAACTTTGATAACATTAAAAATCACATGAATCTCTTATCTCCTTTAATCCTCTTTTTCTTTTCATCTCATTTCAATTCTAAAAACCCCTAATACCTCAAAAACCATTTCACATGCTTCCGGACCATATAACCTAAGCTCTGATACCATTAAAAATGTCACGCCCCGAGCCCGCACGTGCCCGTCACATGACATTCACCGTACTCCCAAGTCCCACTCAGGAATACAAGGCTACACTAACTAATTTACTTTAACAGTACTCAATAATTTAACTAAATAAAGTGCGGTACATATTACATATCAAGGAAAGTCCACGAATATTCAAGACGTTCGTACATTTATTGAAACAGCGGAAACAAAAGTAAATAAGACTAGCAACTAGAGGTAGCTAGCCTGCCAACTTCTATTCATCTAATGCTAATAAAAGTCATCGTCAGGGTCTTCTACGTAAACCAATTCATACTCTTCAAAATCTGCAAAAATGGTAAGAAGTGGGTTGAGCGACACATCGCTCAGTAGGTCATATTTACCCCTCTGTTGGACCATGCACTCTTGGTTTTATAGATACATATACAAATATAAGTATAACCCAAATCGTTTGCATATCATTCACATCTGTAATTTTGAAAGCAACGTCATTTGTAAAGCAACCAGCAGTAAATAAGGACAAACAATTTAAAAGCATCTTATTGATAGTTGGACATGAGAAATTGTAAAGTCATAAATCATTTCGTCTCAAGTCACAAATCTCTTCATATATATTCGTAATTCAACTCATATCAGTTCATAAGCCTCATTTCAAATCAGTTCATAAATCATTCCATATCAGCTCATAAATCATTCTTTCAGATCAGCTCATAACAAATACATGTAATGACCGGCTACTGAGTACTCAGCCTAGAGATTAAACCCCTTCTAGGTGGGCGATCAATAAGTTCCATGACTACCGATTGGTCTCATTCATATTTGGGTCAATCGGCCGGACTCTATACCAGGCTACCATGACCTTGTCAATCGGCCGGACTCTATACCAGGCTACCATGACCTTACCAATCGGCCGGACTCTATACCAGGCTACCATGGCGATTAGACAGGACTATAGCCCCTACCGTCTATTCCATGACTGCTCTGAGCTTTACTTGTCAAAATTCATTTCATATATCATATACATAAATCTTTGCTTTCATAAAAGATTCGGCTCATTTTGTATATAACAGCATATCAAAACTTTTCAAATAAGTCACACGGTCCATTTTTGTATGGTAAAATATAGCTTTCATAAATATCCAAGTAAAGCATTTAATCAAACACCTTTCGAGTCAACACAACAAAATAGTATTGAAAACAAGGATCTCATTTTGCACATTTGAAATCTCAGAAGGGTAAGTACCACCTACCTTTGTTTGGCTGCTCGAGTGGAACTACCTTAGATCCTTGTATCGTACCTATCAAATGCATAGGTTCCCTAATTAGTTGCTACTTCCTATAAATGCATAAATATACAACCTCTAAGTAAGTACAAGATTCATATCTAGACCATTATATAGACCCTAATAGCATTCCCCTCAAATTGGACGATTTCTATTTTTGGAAAGTTTCCTAATTCGGAAAGTTTCTATTTTTAGAAAGTTTCTTAATTTGGAAAGTGTTCATTTGTGAAGTTTCCTAATTTAAAATGAAATAATTTATTCATAATCCCGTTTACTATCTTGAGTATTATCTTACTATACATATTTATAATTTATAATTATTCATTATTATTATTATTATCGTTCTCGTCGTCGCTACTTTATTTTATTACCACTTATATATCTATTTGTTAATTAGTTACTATTACCTTTCACTTTATTTCCACTTTTAAGCATGTGTAAGTATTATTATTATTTATGTATACATGTACATATATATATATCTATATATATTGACCTATTATAATTATTATTGTCTTAGTTTATTCCACTCGTATTATATTTGTATCTTTGTTTATATCCTTAATTTACTTCCTCCATGCCCATATTGTTATTATCCTTACTATTATTGTTTATTAATTATTATTTACTATTATTATTATTATGATTATGATTATTATTAATAGTAGTGTTATCGTCAGCATTATTATTTACTATTATTATTATTATTATTATTATTATTATTTTAAACGTTTCGTTTAATAATTTAGAATTTATCTCACCTCATCTACATTAACCTCATAAGGCTAAATTAAGATATCCTAGATTTTTCTTTAAATATCTTAGACGTAATTAATTAAATAAAAGTTTTACATGACCAATACTTGAATTCTAACAATTTCTTTAAATTGGGTCCTGAATTTTAATACCCATGATCACCTATAAAAATGGACTAGTTATATTCAAAATTTATTTATTAAATATTTATTTATTTTATTTTATATTTGGTTAACATCTAAATTATCCCTTTTTCCTCTTCGGGTGAGAGCCATGTGGCCAACCATTTCCTTTTAGACCATGGTCGTCAGAAACCATTTGTTTGACCAAGGTCTGGCAACAACATTCCCTCCATTGGTTGGCCGAAAAGGCCAACCATTTCCTATGTCCATTGTCGCCAGCAAGTGCTGGCGACATCGTCTTTCAAATTTTTTTTTTTTTTTGTTTTGTCTTGGGTTGGCCTTTCGGCCAACCCTTGGAATTCTTCCTGTGGCGTTGCCTCTACAACGCCTGGCCGAAACAGAGCAGTGGCAGCCGCCGCTGCTCTTCCCTTTCTTTTTTTTTTTTTTTTTTTTTTTTTTTAAACAGATTCAAACACCCTATAATATCAGGGTTAAAATCAACCCCCCTATTCCTATTAACCCAGATACGAATCTTATCAAAACATACATATCTACACCTATATAGCAACGATACATGCCCATAAAATTATTAGAACAGTTGATACAACTATTAAAACTTAAAAGAGAGGTTCTCTTGTGTGAACTCGAGACTTACAGGTTTAGGTGCCTAGTCGTCGGATCGATTGACGGTGTTGCCTGCTTCTCCTTCTCTCCTCTCTGACGGCTTTTGCTCTAGAGAGGTAGACGAAAGAGAGGTAAGACTAGAGTTATTTTTCTGTCTAGGGTTTTAGTAAAATTCTAATCCTAGCAATACTTACTAATAGGTGGCTTGAGTCAGATTTTTACTTTATTAGAGCCCATTAGCCCGTCCTACAATTACTTTACTTTATTTTTTTCTTTTACCTAGCAAATTTTATCTTTTTAATTAATTGGAAAAATTACAATAATGCCATAACAAAATAGGGGCCAAAAATCGCGGGTTTCACATTGCAGGACAACTTTCTCTCCACCTCATTAGCTTCAAACCCACACAGACAAACACCGCACTCCATCGAAGTCTACATGTTTCCACCACTGATGATGCCAGCACTGTTGTCGGTTCTGGCAACATTTTTGCACCTGTTTCTGCATAGAGATCCATGGCGGGTAATGGAAACTCTTCCTGCTCTTCTCGAACCCTCAAACCTTTCATGAGATGAATCTTCCTCTGAACCTAAAGTAGCACCAGCTACTACTTCTAGTAGAGATCTAACCATATTCTTGAATAACAGCATGGACTCAACTGTGTTAATCAGTAGCAATGATATCGTGCCTTGAGCCGGACAAGGGAAGTTACAACACACCCCCATAGATGTTCCCCTTTTTTATTTCCTTAAATTATGATGATTTCAAACAACTAGTTGAAACGGAAAATCAAATTCAAAGATGGCAGCAGAGATTGTTGAAGGCAAAGAAAGCAAGCAATTTGTTCAGCACCGTACAACATTAATTAACTAGTAGTCGATGGCATTCAAGAATCCCACCTTCGGACGAGTTATATCTATGTACCGATCGAGACTCGGTGCTCTTTTGCTTGCAGTTGGAATCAGGAACTCAGGAAGTGGAAGTCAGAGGAGACCACCACGTATCCTGGACCCTTTTGCTCTTCTAATAATATGCTTACATATGGCACTTTCAGTGCCAGGACCTTAAAATTAATTGCAGAAAGTTCTTGATTTCAGTACCCAGCGAATGGTATAGTAGCATCAATGACAGTTGGCGAATAAGGCATAGCAATACAAGAAGAAGTAGAGTGTTAATGAATTCAGTTGTTTGACTTGTTGCTTTAGTGCCGAGATTTTGTGAAATTGGAAGGATCAATTCCTTTATCCTTGTAGTATGCTTTCTCCGCATTCTCCATCCTTCTCGAGAACATGGACCATTCTCTTTGACACCTCTCTCGTACCTTGTACCATCAAAAACAGCCATGTATTAGCATTCATTCACGGGACTTAGGAGTTGAAAACAACACTACAAACAAATCCTAGAATGCAATTTCTTTTTTTAAGTTTTGCCTTTGGAATCTTACCCCTCTCCAAGCAGCTTGGCCATTCTCAGACTCACCCTAAAAAACACAGACGGGAGAAAGATATATTTATTCCATGTTTACATGGTGAACAAGTCGAATCAAATAGAGGTGATTGCAAACAATATATATACATATATATATACACATACCTGGTTCCCTAGTGAAGGAACGGATTGGTGAACAATCCACTGAGCATCAACAATTCCAATTTTCTCATGAGCAGGCTGCAAAAAAGCGTAACAATGTACTTTCATTGTAGCGAAGGCAATGTAGCTCCATAGTAAAATAACAAGCAGGATTGTCAACAAAGTTGTAACTGAAAAGTGAAAAGCACCACTAACCTCGACACATTTTTGGACCCCAAAATCAATGCCCCAACCATGGACCAGGTCATTCTGAAATTCCCGCACAGCGGAAAGATGGTATAATATGCAGTCAGCAAAAGCAGAGATGCTAAGGACTTTGTCTGCTCCAATATCCAGGAGAAAGTATTACAGAAACCTAAGGACTTGAAGCTCCAAAATGATCGTATACCTGAATCATATGCCACACGCAGCGCCATGCGTCTCGAGTAAAGACGGGAGCCATGATTTCCACAAATCTGCAAACATGTCATCTTCTCTAAGCACATAATTCTAATGTCAGCTCAAAAAGGGAAGTGCAATCCATAAGAAAAACAGAAGCACTGATTCATACGCTGCACACGGAGGGAGATGGGGATCAGAGCACCATCCCGGTCTCTCCGTTGTTTCTCTGATCAAAGGACAAGAACAATTAGGTGGGAGATCATGACAACAGTAATATAACATTCAGATAATAAAAAAACATTGGCATTTTCAGCATTACTTTTTGACGAATTGGACTGGACAACAGGGAGATAAACGAAAAAAAAAATCCAATTCTTACTTGTGCACTTCGCGATCTTCTCTTCTCTTTGTCAGCTGCCAAGTTAAAACTCCAGTAGGCTCCAAAGCGGGCTGCGAAATTTCCAATCCATGCTTCTTAACAAGTTTTATATATCTGGAAACAGCTCATCATATCAATTATCGGGACTACTATCCACTGACTAGGATTTCGCGCAACAATTACATACTTACTCTTCGGCATTGAAATGTTCAACTCCAAGGTCCTCATCCCATATAAATATGTATTCATAGGGTGCAACAATACTGGGGTGCAAAAATCTTTTGGCATACCACCTTGTACGAAGTTGAAGTTTAAGAGATGAGCCAATTATAGAAAACCAAACAGAGGTACATGAAAAATTATTTGCTAGAAGCTGCTAATATGTCAATCATTTTCTACCATTTTGTCTGTTTAGGAACACTGACATGGATAGCCCGCTTAGACCACTCAAACTCATCCCATTCACTTGTTTTGCCATCATAATGGAACAGAAGTACAGTAAAGTTATCTGAAAACTGTAGGGAAAGATACGATTAGAAAGGAAAACATTTCTGAGACAGGGGGCATATGGAGGCTGGGGAAGCAGAAAGATGTACACACCTTTTTCACAGCTGCATCAATATTATTCTTCTGATCATAGCCGACAGTGAAGCTCACCAGATATTTCGGTATGTGGGTTAGGTCCTATAATCACAAATTCATTCGCAGATTAAATGTGGATAAAGACTCTAGTGTGTTTGTCTTTCTACTACTGATAAACTCTTTAAGATGCTTTTCTTTAACTATAAACATGGCGAAATGATGAATTGAAAGATTTCTTAGCAGAAAACGTTCATGCATGTTTACGTGTTTATCATTTTCATGTGCTAAAGGGAAAAGGCCACATAACAAAGCATGAAGTCTTCTGACAAAGCAGTTCTAGGGAGCTGGAAAGTGAATGGGGTACCGTACTCTACATTTTCTTACCCAAATATGTCATCACTCGTACTCAAAACACAATTGGTACGATAGTAAACAGCACAGGTACGAAATTATGAATAGGATTTGCATTAAAGCACTTACTTCACTAGGTTTGCCGGATAACCTACGAGGAAAGAAGTCTGACTCAATGGCGAGAATGCCTGGAGGTAATGTTTCTGCACCTTTTGGATTTGAGGGGACCCACATCTGAACCAGATAATCGGGGAAGGAGTCGTCAAAAACTAAACTAAAGTGTTCAGTTGTAGTCTTAAGATGTCCATTTGCAAAAATCGCTCACCCATGTCAAGTAGAGAGTATGAATTGTCCAATCACATATTCAAATGCAGGAGCTATCAATGAATTTCCAGCAAGAGCAACAACAAATGAAACAGGAATTTTGAAGTCTTGTAAATCACCGGTTATTATTTTGAAGTTGAACTGAGGACTTGAAGATTATGTATCAAGTACTTGGAGCAGGCAATGAAAATGCGTTTTTAGTGCTATGGCACAAAATATAGGCTACCACAGTGTCATTCCCAATTTGTTCCGCAAACATACAGGGAATCATTAACAATTTGAGAATGGAAGAGGAGCAAAATTATTTTTCGTTACCCAAATCCTCAAGATAACTACTATGCAATGGAGCAAGAAAAAAAAAATTACTGTGGGAATTGCTAGGCATCTAATGCCAAACTTTTATGGCTTTATAATCATGCTGGGAATTAGAAGATTAGTAGTACTTACCTTTTGTAGATCACTCATGTTTTGACTTCTACGTGAATTGTTTTCACTCTCAATGAGGGGAGACAAAGCATCTCCACAGATTTGGCTAGAATTACTTCTAATTTTGTTCCCAACATCTGAAAATTCGCAAATAAGGCTGGATGTGATATTTAGCTGCCAATTGCAACAATAACCATTTGTCAATCTCAATTGGTAAATTGCACCAGGCCATAACTATCAAGAAATCAACCAAAGCAAGCAAGCAAGCTGTTACTAGAAATGCAGGCTAGGATAGTATAGAAGGGGGAGGGGAAGATAAAGATAGAAATACTCTGAACCTTGGTAAATGAAAGTTTTGGGAGTGAGACTCCAATTAAGAACCCAAAAACCGATCCAACAAATACGGCAACTAGAATTATCATGGTTTCATTTGGCCTTCTGACAATCAAACTGGAATGTAAAGAAATAGTCAAATAGTTATTGAAGAAAAGGCCTGGTTTAGTCTCAAGTTTTGGCAAGTAACTCGGTCCAACTAATGAGTAACTGCATAAAATACAGACCTGCGTCCAGAATTTCCCATCTTACACATCAAAAATTGAATTGGCTGGGATAATTGCCAAAAACAGCTTGTAGCGGCAGTCTCTGCTTGTGGCAAATAAGCACCAGAACCTATCAGGAGCAAGTTATAGTAGATAACAGAATTAGAGGACTTGAAAGGAGGAAAGAATGCTGAGATCTCCACAGTCGCTTCAAAAGAAAACAGAATCTATCTCCAACACAACTCAAAATCTCCAGAAATCTCGTCAGAACTGAAACTGAGATGTCAAAAAGAAAATAATCTCAATATCTCAAAGCCAAAAATATGAAAAAGAGCAAAAGCTTTTCTATAAAGATCACTTACTGAATTGTCTTGTTCATTTATACCAATAAGCCCAGAAAAGTGCTAGTATATACTGAAGCTAAGTAGAAAAGATTACTAATAAAAACCAGTAAAGGCTGAACCCACGAGTTTCCACACTCTTTAACACCCTCCACAAGCAACTCATCAGTTACTACTGAAGCAAGCAATCAGATCATGTGCTATCTTTGACAATCACGGCAAGAATTCATCGATCCAAACAAAGACTACTTTTTTAAGCACAATTAGTTTCTATTCACAACTTGATACCTACAAAGACAAGCCACCCGGTAGCTAGCAAGCTCCGTTCGACTCTACTCCACATTCAAACCGTCCATATGACATACCGCTCAGGTTCAGACCCTTGAATTTTAAAGTTTCATAAGGGAGAAAACTTATAAGAAACATTCTGTCTTGCTTAGTTTAAAGGTAAAGCAGGACTTAGATGAGAGCGGAATGCCTTTATCTCCACCTGAAGGCAGTTCAAACCAGTAAAAGGAAAAAAAATTCTAGCCTAATTATACTACTAGCTATTTCCTCTGTTGCTCTGAATATTTAAGCAGATAAAATAAACTTTCGTTCATCCTTCCATCCATTGGCAGAAAAAGCAAGCTCAACAACGACAAAAAATCATAAATTTAACGCATTCATACGAGTGTCATGGAATATCAACGAGTATAAACATGAAAATTATGCATAGAAAAACAGAGAGTTAAAACGAAGGATACTTAAAAGTCACAAGGAAATCCCAGAGAGATCAAAAGTATGAGTGATGTGAACCCGGGATCCCAGTCACAGTTTCAAGAATAAAACGCGGCTTGTCCAGAACCAACACTGTAGAATCTGTATGGGGAAAAAAAAAATCGTCAAGCAACAAATGGGAAAGACTAAGAAAAACTTGAACTCTAGACTAAAAGCTGAGATAATTCAGGATAAGGAGCAAAAGGTTACACAGGCCGTTTGGTTCATTCGGGAATCCAATCGCCATTCGCCAAGGTAATCATAATAAGTCCTCCCCTTCCTCTGCATGTTTGGCTCTGGAATTGGGATGAGCTTCGTTCTTCATTTTTTTTCCGTTTCTGAAATATGTTGGCTCAATTCTGCTCCACTCCCCCAACTATACGGGTGTCACTTATTTCGATACTCATTCCTGAATCCCATGCTCCTAACCGAAACTCTTCTTAAACTAGGCGAACTAGAGAGAACGGGGATTCAAACTCCCATTCTATCGGTCATAAGCATTTACGAGTAGTTTATTTTCTGTCGAGTTAACACGCGTGTTCAGGAAACTTATTTCCGTTTCTTGTTTCTTTTCTCAGGTTTATGATAGTTGGAGGCAATTAGCTCTCCAGATTGCTTCAAAACATGAAATTGAAGGGTTAAGATCATCAATAGACCAGACCAAGAATGCGTTGCCTTGACTGTAAAAGTTCTTCAGTTTACCGACTAATGTGCGTATGAGATTTGGCATTCTTTCTCTGTGGAATCTCACATGATAGAGCCAATGACAGGACTTTGAGTATTTGACACCCAAATAACGTAAAAGGAACGATGAACAAAGAGAGAAAAGTTACATCTTGGCAAGGTCAATACTGGAGAGTATGATATACGGCATGAATTTCAAAAGCCTCCATTTTAGCAAGTGACCAAAATACAAGATGCTAGATATATTTAGATATTAAGATCTTGACTAAGGATCAGTTTCCATCCGGCTGAGAAATAGGGCCTATTTAAGCTGTACACGTATCATGTTTCACCATGTCATGTTGTATGTTTCCTCTTACAGTAGTCCATGCATTTGCATAATTTGTAGAATTCACGAATAACAACTGTCTTTTATACTTGAATTTTCCCGTTTGATGACATGTACATTTCTACAGCAAAAAAAAAAAGAAGAAGAAGAAGAAAGAAAGACAGAGAGAGAAAGAGAAAGAGCATATTTGAGTGGATCCCTACAAAATTTCATTATAAAGAATTATAACTACAACTAGATACGTATAAAAAAAAATATGTCGAACTTTTCCTCTCAAAAAATTGGATGGTATTCTTTGTACAAGTTAATTGTGTCATCCTCTAATGAGATGTGAAATTGGAAGGATCAATTCCCTTTCCCAGGTAGTAAGCTTTCTCTGCATTTGACATCCTATTTTGAAACATTGCCCATTCTTTTCTACACCTCTCTCGTACCCCTTGCCACGGAGCTTTGCCATTCTCTGATTGACCCTGGCAAAAGGGATTTAAAAGGAAAACAGTTAGTCCACGACACACGTTGATGCAGTCGCATCTTTATGTAAAGGACTGCCAAAGAAGCTTATTGCACAACCTGGCTCCCAAGTGAAGGAATAGACTGATGAACGATCCACTGAGCGTCCACAACACCAATTTTCTCATGGGCAGGCTAAAAAAGGAAAAGAAATTATTTTCAACTTTTCTAAGAAGTTAGCTCCAGAATGGTCCACAATCAGAATAAGTAAAAGATCCGGCACAAACCTCAACACATTTTTGGAGGGCAAAGTCAAGGCCCCAACCATGGACCAGGTCATTCTGCAATATACCAACATCAAGACGATAAGTTATGCAGTCAGCAGTGCTAAGCAGTATAGTAAAAGGACGTTTCAAAAAACAACTACAGAATCTGGACTGCATGCTCCATCATGATAATTAAAATACCTGAATCATATGCCACACACAGCGCCATGCATCCCGAGAAAAAACGGGAGCCATGATCTCCACAAATCTGTAGACAGAAGAGGATAAATATGTCCTATTATCCAGTTGCATAAACTTCAAACTAAGGTGAGCTTCAAACCAAGGTGAGAAGAGAGTGATTATGAGTACAAAGGAATAAAATACATACGCTGCACAGGGAGGGCGATGGGGATCACTGCACCAGCCTGGTTTCTCTGTTGTTTCTCTGGATCAAGGACAAGGCTTATAGATTAGAAAAATTGATGAATGTATATCCTTTAGATGATTAAAAAACATCAGCATTATCCTAAACAAGGACCCGACAGAAAGATAAATGTGGCTGTTCCGCTCTTACTTGTGCACTTCTTCATCACCTCTTCTCTTTGTCATCTGCCATGTTAAGCCTTTATTACTAGGGCCCAAACCAGGCTGGGAAATTTCCAAACCATGCTTCTTAACAAGTTTTATGTATCTGGGAAAGAGCTCATGTGTAAGTGGGCAAGCATGTAAACTTTTACTACCACTTTGACTAAGAATTGTGGAACCAGATACTCACTGTTCAGCATCAAAATGTTCAACTCCGAGGTCCTCATCCCATATAAATATGTAATCATATGGTGCAACAATGCTTGGATGCAAAAATCTTTTTGCATACCACCTTGTTTGAGATTGACGTTTAGGATGTTAGCCTAATATAGAGAAACCATATAGAAGTATATAAAAAGAATTTGCAAGTGCTTCATTCGTCGACCATGTCTTACCATTTTGTCTGTTTATGAACACTGACATGAATGGCCCGCTTAGACCACTCAAACTCATCCCATTCACTTGTCTTGCCATCATAATGGAACAAAAGGATGGTAAAGTTCTCTGAGAACTGTCAGAAAGAACACAATTAGAGAGAGAGAGAGAGAGAGAGCCACAGAGGCAGAGGGTAGTGATTAAAGAGAAATGTTTACACACCTTTTTCACAGCTGCGTTAATGTTGTTCTTCTGGTTTAGGCCAACAGTGAAGGTGACCAGATATTTTGGTTTGTGAGTCAGGTCCTATGAGTACAAATGTGCTTAGATGTCAGATTAATATCACAGAATTTCAGATATTCTAAGATTCCAGACATTTCTATGCCTAAACAGGATTTACATTTGAAAACTTACTTCGCTTGGTTTGCCCCATAACCTGCGAGGAAAGAAGTCTGACTCATTTGCAATAATGCGCGGTGGTAATCTTTCTGCACCTCTTGGATTTGAGGGGACCCAAATCTGAATCAGAAGACAGGAGGTAGTTAAAGCATGAATGTCATACGGCAATATAAAAGAATCACGTTCAAAAATCTGCCTTCACATGTTACATAGATGGAGATCAATGAAGTAGGTAGATTAGGCTCTCCAAGTACATATTCAGATGCATAAGCTTTACATGCTTATCTAGCAAAGGGTGTTATCAAGCAACATCATTAAAATTACGATCGCAGGCTTCAGAATTTGTATACAGCCAATGTGATATTTGAGCTTGAACTTCATTTTGTTAGGCTTGTTAATCATGCTAAGATTAGGAAGACAAGTAGTACCTTTAATAGATCAGTCATGTTTGGGCTTTGAAGGGAGTTATTTCTGCTCCCAATCAGCGAAGGCAGAGCATCTCGGATATTTCGGCTAGAGTTACTACTAAATTTGTGCCCAACTTTGGAAAAATCACAAATAAGACTGGATGTGATATTTAGCTGCCAATAGCAACAATGAACATTTATCAAGTACAATTGCTGAATGAACATGGATTCAAAACTAAACAGAAAACACCTAACGAGAAAAGCCCCAAAAGAGCTGAAGATGAGGGGAGTGGGGAGAGAAAGGGAACTGAAAATAATAGATTAAGGTAGAAACAGTCTGTACCTTGGTTAATGAAAGTGATGGGAAAGAGAATCCAACTAAGAATCCAAAAAGGGATCCAATGAATACAGCAACAAAAATCTTCATAGTTTCATTTGGTTTCTTGGGAAGCACACTGCAAGAAGCAACAAACTGTAAATTACCTGGCTTGGTTCCGTTCCACGCCAGTGGAAAAGGCCTTAGTTTAGTGCAACTACAAAGTAACTCAGCAAAATAAAAACCTGCGTCCAAAGTTTCCCTTTATATATAGAGATTCTGAATTCATAGTCACATGGAAAACTTAGTTAGCTGCCCTAATTCCCTAAAAAGATTTCAGCAATCACTCTGCAGCAGGAAGTGAAGTATACTTAGGGTGATTAAGCAAAACCTGAAATCATCAGAAGCAGGTTACAGTAGATTATGGAGTTTGAGGAGTAGGAGGAAGGAAAGAAAGGTAAAACCTGCAAATGGTGCAAAAGAAAAAAATAAATTGAAAAGAAAAAGTATCTGGTTGCATAATCCACTTATCATTGCAGATTAAGTTCACTATTTCCAGTATAATTAAATTTCTAGGCAACTCTCCCACATAATCACATGTAATAGTGCCCTCTTCATTTTTTGTACCAGTAAACCTAGAAAATACTCTATCAATTCTGAAGCTATTTGAATTTTACTAACAAAACCAGAAAAGCTTAAATCCAAAAGTTCACAGCAACCATTAATATCAGTGCTGAACCCCTCGGAGTTTCTACACTCAATACCCTCTACAAGTAACTAATCACGCAACCAATTAGAACATGTGCTAGCATTGACTATCACGTCAATATTACAGTCATACACAAAGACTACAGGTTTTAGGCGCAATGTAACTCAATTCAACAACTCGATACCTACAAGAACAAGCCACCATCATTAGCTTCACTGACCCAACTTTATATTCAATATCTCCCCAAAAGTATTCTCCCCCCCCCTCCCCCCCGCCCTCGGAGCCTCCAGTTTGAAGTCAATAAAACGACTGTTGCAAATGGAGCCAGAATTCTCTTTGCCTGCACATAAAGTCAGCTCAAACCAAACGGCTAGCCCAAGAATTCTTACAATTTTACTTCGTATTCCTCTTTGTTTTCATCGACGTGCACGCAAATTAATCAACTTGCATTCATACTTTCGTACTAGAGCACCAAAAGCATACCGTTTTTGACATCAAAGATCACATTTTTAACGTATCAACATAATTTTTGCAACAATTAAACATGCTCAGGCACGTTAAGTATGCATGCTAAAAGGAAGAATGGGTTAAAAGGGTAGCCAAAACTAGCAAGAAAAACCCAGAAAAAGATCATCTAAAGCTGAAGAAAATCAAGCAGGGGATCACGAGAAAATACTTACCGGCCAACTGAAAGTTTTGAGGGAAGAAACGTGGGCTCTCCTGACCAGCACAAATTGTGTTAGGAAGGATGAGGAATGAAGAATTTGAAACTGAAAAGGAAACAAAAATTCGAGTTGAGGAAGAAACAAATTGGTCAGCTTTTATGGAGGTCGCGTGGAACAGAAATAGAGAGGGAAAAGGAAGAGAGTTAAAAGAATTAATGTTGGGTATTCCATACTATGTAGTGGTAATTGTTTTTATGAATTTGTTTACTAGTCCCACTGGATTTTGGGTTTAATGAATTTTCCTCAATAATAATTAGTAGTATTGGTTCAGTCAACAACAACCATTTTTAGCTTGATACCTACCTGTTGAGGGGCTTGGAAAACTTAAAAAATACGTAAACAAACAAAAAAAATACTCATAAACAACAGAAAAAGGGGAGGCATTAAAGTTTGGTTTTCATTTTGTAGTTTGTTATCTCTGGGGCCTTGGAAAAGTTAAAAAAAAAATAGACGAACAAACAAATATACCATATAAACAACAGAATTCAAACAAAGTAAAGTACCAGAACTTGTTTTTATTTTTTATTTTTTTTTTAAAAAAAAAAGAAAAAGAATAAGGGAGGGCATCAAAGTGGCAATCCAGAAAGGCCGGCAAATCAGGTGCAAATGGACCATGTGGTTGTTTCCTATTGGACGAGCTTAAAGTTTTGACGTTTTTAAGATTGGATTCTTATGCCCTGCCCAGCATCCATTGGCTTAGCTACCCGGCTCGTGCTTGGAATCTACTACTAATATCTCAGGTACTCGAATTTGATTATGCTTCTATTTTAGCTAGGACACTCGAATTTCCTTGTATACTTCCATGTTAATCTTGATTATGAATCGGATTTAATTTGGATATATGTATTTGGAAAAAAAAAATATTTTATTTGCGTTACAAATTCAAAATAAGGAATCTGGGACGGAATTGAAGCTTTTTGGTAAAGTAAAATTCCTCTGTATTTTAAAAGACAAACCAAACCATTTTGTTTCGCTTTAAGACATTGTATATGCTTCCATATGCAGCGTTCAAGGATTTGTAAGTTATTTGGGATATTTTTACTGTAGCACTTTTTGTGATGTGATGTATGTGAGATAAAAAAATATTTGGAAGATAAAAAGGTGTATTGGAAATTGTAAAGATGATGTAAGCAAATAAAATTGGGAAAATATGAAGCAATCCAAACAAACCAACGGTGATGCATGCATAGTTTTAGCAAGAAAAAGATCTTCTCAGAAGCATATATTTTGTGTAAGGAAGCAAGTTATATTTATCTAATCTGGCAATTAGTACGAGTGTCAAAGTAAATAGTTCAAAAATTCATTTTTTTTATTATGTCATGAAATTAAACTTTATTATACACTCGTAACTGATACTCCACTAGTTACTGCATCAGATAGATAATAGTGGCAAAAAATAATGAATATTTGTGTAAGAGGTTCAAAAGTGATGATGAATTAATGTTGTGCTATAAAAGGAGTTGCAACGCTTTTCAACATAAAAATAAACCAATTTGTTTGTACCAATTAATTATGGCTACATACCAAAATTAAGGTAGAAGAAGACTTCGAACCCCTCCATTCCCATTGCCAAGTCTAGTCTTTCTAGCACTCCTTTTGCCATTAATGCTTAATTGAGACTAAATTCCTATCTTATGGTTTCATTGAATTATCCAAAATAGTCTAGACAGCATTCAGTAGTGTCTGACGGCCTAATAATAGTAAGAAAAATAAAATAGAGCTGTATTTACGGGTCAAATGTTAATGTCACGAGTCTTCACGCTGAGTTCTAAAGTATTTGACTTTTGAATTAGTTTATAATGAGAATATTGACCGCTGACGCGGTTCGGGGTTGGCCGTTGCGGCCGCCGGTAATATATGCGCGGTCGCCAAAGTAGAAGTTTGGTAGACCCAACCGCACAAATAGGATACAGAGAATTGTAAATTTGGTCCCAAATGTTTGGGGGCGCGAACTCTTCTAATTCTTAAGGTTTGGAGAAAAGTAAAAGTAATTCAAGATATTTCAATTACTAAACACATTTAGACTATATTTGGGGTTGAGATGTTTTTTGATTAAAAAAATATTTTTGGATGCTAAAAGTGATTTTGAGGCATTTGGTAAATATCATCTTACAAAATTAGGAGCAAAACTTTTAACTAAAGTTCAAATTTTTAGTTCAAATTTGGTACTTTTAACATAGGGGATAATATCAGAAACCTCCCTTGAGATTTCTATTAATATCACTTGGCACCCTTGAGATTTTAGAAATATCACTTACCTCCCATATCAATCGTAAAAAGATTATAATAACCCTCATTTGACACATTATTCACAACATATCAAATAAATGGAGCTCAAAATTTTTTTTTTAAAAAAAGAAAAGAAAGTCATTTTCTTTTTTTTCCCTTCTCTCTCTCCATCATTCTCTCTTACTCATATTTTTTTAGATAACTATGAAGTATTTTATTTGTAAATTATAATAAATCAATTTTTGTTTATCTTTTACTTTTTATAATTATGGTAAAGTGGGATATGATTTATTTGCTTATTTTGAGTTGATTTTTATAATGATTGATATAGTTTAATGGTTTGAGTAAGGATTGAGAAGATGTTGGAAAAAAATATAAATGCATAAGAAATCGATTTTGACCGTATAGAATGAAATTGATGCAAGTGTATTTCTTTTCAAATATCTTTTTTATTTTTAAAATTTATAATTTTATGGGATATAGCATTGTAATGTGGTAGCACTACAAGAGATTGTTTTTAAGGTGATGGTTTTCTTGAAGTGAACAAAGTGATTTAGAAATATTTTTATTTAGCAAGTGAAAGGATAGTTTAGGGTTTTTAAAAAATTTGTTACACAAATAACAAAAATAAGGAAGATAAATGATATTTTTAAAACCTGGGGGTGTCAAGTGATATTAAGAGAAACCTTAGGGGAGGTTTTTGATAGTATCCCTTTAAAATAGCTTTTGGATTTTAAAAAATAAAATATTAAATTTAATTAATTTATCCTATTTTATGAACTAAATAAAGAGATAAATCTATTTAAAAGTTTTCAAATTACGCATACAATAAATACTTATCTGAATTATGTATTCAAACAATATACTTATTCTTTGAAAAAGAAAATTTGTTCGTACAAGAGAAAAGGATTTTTTTTTTTTTTTTTTTCATTTTCTTGACTATTGCAAGATGAAGAAGTGTGCTATGCGTTTCACTTAAACAACAGATTTCAGACTGTTATGGGGGCCAAATGCACTTGTGCGAAAAAAGGTGTAATTTACTTTCCTCTCCCCTTTTTCCTTCATCTGAACACAACCTTACAAGACACATGGGCTTTTCCTTGCACTAAGAGATTCTAATTCCTTAGTGCAGACTGCAGACTCCAGAGTGCCCATATCGTCATAGATAGTCATCACTCAGCACTGCTTTACCATGACTTCTTTTGTCTTCTGTTTCTTCATCTCTGCATTACCATCTTTGTACAGTCAAACATCATTATGTCAACAACGATACTGAGTAAAAGTTTGTCAGTCTTTGCTTAATAGAAGGTTTTTGCCCCTTCCATGTCCGATTCCTGAGCTGATCTCTGAATAAACCCGCGGTGTCTTGAAGATTTTCCCGGAGAATGTTAAGAGTCTGATGCCCACTTGGACTGCGTTTTCGCTCTAATGAAAAAGCCTGAGCTGAGTTGATCCAAGGCTCTTTTGGTATTGACATTTTTGGTATGCTGTACCATTCTTTTGTTTCTTATATAGGCCTTATATAACTGTTTGTAATAGCGTATGCAAATTTTTATTTAGTTAAGCTTGATTTTTCAGAGCTATATTACTTTGTTTGGTAACCAGTTAAGGTAATCTATGCGTTACTAGTTGTTGTGCCTTCTCTCTGAATTGGGCTAAGTTCACCCGGTAATCTGGTATGTGGTTTTGACAGTCAAGAATTTGATGTAGTTAAGCTTAACTTTGGAAGGCTAATAATGGTATAATTAATTTCAGGATTATCTAATTAAGTTCAGTTTTGCAGATTGCTGAATCTAATTAAATATTGCACCGTAGTATGTTACCATTCTTAAGTTTTTGGACATCTTGGACTGGTTAAATGATTGTTTCGCTTACCTTTGTTTGCAGATTGCATGAGATCTTATTTAGTAGATAGCTCTGTAGATTTATGGCTGGACCAAATTGACATACTTGGTAAAAAAAAAGAAGGCAATAATTGTTAAGTGTGCTTGTCTAGCAAAAACAATCACTGTATTGGTTCTACCACTATCGTGATTGTGATCAATATTTTCATCCTAGGAGCATTTGCCTGCTTGACCAATATCCAAATGTCAAATTTGGGGATTCCCTTCAAGTTGAAATTCACCCTCATGATCCTGCGGCAAATGTCTGGATGGTTATAGAGTCTTCAAATGTTTCCCATGTAATTTTCATCTGTGTCTGCAATGCATACGTGATATAATATATAAGTCCTAACTCTGTTATTTTTGCTCATCATGTTGGCGGGGCCATATGATAAAAAGTTTTTCCACAGCTACACTTAATACTTCCAATTCTATTATAAGCATATTCCTGTAATTGCTTACCTTCAAATTTTTTTTTCTCTCATCTCAGTTGAAGACTAGTGAAAACATGTAGTTCTTGGGATCAATGTTGCAGAAATATCAGATCAGGTGTACAAAATTGGAAGGCTGAGAGTCTTAGACAGGAAAATATCAGATGAGATGTACAAAGTTGGTAGTATAGATAACAGAAATGTTATCCCATCATGATCCAACAGATGAGTTGTCAGAGCACATTCAGGAACAATGTTCTTATACAAGCCATGAGCCTACCAATACAGATGAGTTGATCCAAGGTTCTTCTAAGCGTTCGAGACAGCTCACGTCATTGATTTGGAAGGAATTTGAAATATTGTGTGTTGAACCAGATGGTTCACAAAGAGCACAATGTAAATGCTGCAAGCGTGATTATGCATGCGGTGGAACAACCGGAACAAGCAACTTATGGCGTTATCTTTCAAATTGTACTAAGCGTGGACAATCTGATTTTGAAGAACGGTCTCCAATTGACTAAGGAATTTATCGGGAAAAGATGGGAATTGCTATTGTGAAGCATAACCATCCTTATAGACTGGTGGAGCAAGAAGGAATTCGAGACTTGTGTGTATACTTAAATTCAGCTGCTTTACCCATTTCGAGAAACACGATAAAGGCTGATATTGAAAAGATGTACAAAAGAGAAAAAGAGAAAGTAAAGACAGAATTAAATTCAATTTAAAGTCGAATTTTCTTTGATGGCACGGGATATTTTAAGTATTTCTATCACTACAGTGGCCTCGGAATCAGCTTTCAGTATTGGTGGTAGAATTGTGGGTAAATATCGTACTTCGCTCCTACCAGAAAATGTGGAGGTCTTGTTATGTGCTAGGGACTGGTTATATGGAGTAACAGGTATGTTGTACTTAACCTTTCAGTGCATATGATCTTGTATTTTACTTTTTTGGTCACTTATTGAACTTTACTTTTGATTTCAGCTTCTGAAGATGAAGAAGATAAAGAAAGACTGAGTATTGACTTTGCACCTTTAGTTGCTAAACTTACTAACCTTCATGTTTAGGTAAGCTGTATTCTTATGATCATGGAGATTGTTAGAAATGTGGTGAAAAGAATTTTATCTTTCTGTCTAGATGAAATTTAAGTATCAAAAAACAGAACTTTGAATTTGGTTTTGGTTTTGGTTGCCAGGAATCTTCTCTGTTTTGTGTTGAGCCAGCAGCAAACTTTTAGGTTGCTATCTTTGTACTGTCAAGTGGATTTTGTACTGTCACTGGCACTCCTTCAAGCTGCTTACTATAGGCGTTTGAAATGGTCGGTTTTGAAGTCACGCAAGCTGGTCCTCGATGTTGTCAACTAAACTTGGTTTATTCTTCTCCTTGATGTTTATCAGAGGATTCAAATCAGGGAATAATATTTGTTTCTTGCTACAATATGTGTCTCTCTGCTGTGTTAAGTTTGTTCAACCTGCTTGGTGGTAATTTGTGCTAGCAGAGCAACCTGCAGTTATTATGCAAAATTGACACTGAAATTTTTGTAATGTAAGGGTACCTTTTTCTTCATTCACGTTCTTTTTCTTCATTCACCAGTGAGCTAGAGGAGTTTTATCATTTATGCTATGCAGTTGTACGAAGCTTGAGAAGCTGAATGCTTGTTATTCGTATTTATTGAAAATTTGTCTTTATTTGTATGCTAAATGAAGTGATTGCTAGTCTTCATCAGGATTTTTAACTATTTTTTATGTTAAGTATTTTTGTGTTATTTATTATATTTATTTGTTGGTTTTATCTTATCGCTTTATTTCCTTGTAATTTATTAATTTGATCATTTTTTAGCATCATCAATTTATGACAAATTTTAGCTTCCTTTCTTACTTTTTCAAATGAAATTTTAAATTTATAAACGAAAAAATACTAGGGGTTCACAGTTTTGGATTAAATTTTTTTGTTAACTTTCATATTATTTAGTCCAAATTTTTAGATTCTCATTGTTCAATTATTAAATAATATGTAATTTTGCAACATGGCATGCGGATGGAAAAAAAAAATTGATAATTAGACTTATTTGGCATAATAAATAAATATTTAAAATTAATGATGGGTGTAAAATGGTATAAATTGATAATTTAGTTTACAAAATGAATTTATATGAGCTTGTAAAAAATTAGAATAAATGGGTTATAAATGGATAATTGGGTTATCCAACTCATTTTTTGACTTACCCATTTATACCCATCTAATTAAATGAATATAAATGGATTGACTCACTTATACCCATTACTCATTTTACCCAATCCAAACCCGCCCAAATCACTCATTTTGCCACCTCTACTCAGCAGTAACAGCAACGAATGCTCTACATTTACTGTGGGAAGCTTCTGCTGCGAGTCCTTGATCGTACTGGGCGTGCATTTAAATTTACTCTATTCTTTTTTTCAAATATAACAATTACAATTGGTCCTAGTAATACTAGGGAAAGGGAGATGACCATGAAGTTGGATGGTACTTGAGGCAACCTCTGGAAATTGAGCCAAGAAACTGGCAAATGATGCACTAAGTCACCTGACATGTAGGCAGTGGATCCGTCCTGAATTTGTATTTCTAAGTCTCCTGGAATTTAGGCTGCAAGCAAGCAGTTGCCTTTAGGGTGCAGAATAAATGAAATGGTGTTAAAAGTACGCGCAATTAAGAGGGTGGTAATAATAGAGAATAGTAACTTTAAAAAGTGAACCCAGCCTCCATTTATGGTGCGTTTATCTTGTGCACTAAAGGCACATAATAGAGAATAAGCAGACAAAATATCCCCTTTTTCTTACCTTGCCACTGAAAGATAAAATATGGGCTTTTTTGGCATGGCGAATGTCGACATAGTCATCAAATGTCATGATTAAGACTCTCACATGCACTATTATCCAATTCAAAAGATTCATAAATTGGGTAGGTGAATCACCTCAGCCCTTCTCAATTTGCAACCTTAACCACCAATTCGTAAGAATACTGTGGTGCAAGTATTATTGGCGTAATACAATGCATCTTCTAATACATGGTATCTTTATTTACAACAGTTTCTCAGCTGCACAATCAAGAAGTACTGGTGGATATCTATCCGGTGAAAGGGTAATATGTACCCACATTACTAGGCCGCAAACACACCAATGTACTCTCGTCGAACTTTATGCAATCATTGATTTACTTGATGAAAGAAAGATAACAAGAGGTCTTTAACCCCTCATATCACCCGATCAACTTCATCTGCATCTGGTGAAGTTACATATGGAAGCCATAGCTCTACACGGGTTCCCCCTGCTCCAATACTCGCATCAGAGGTTCTTGGTGAGATTACACGGACAACACATCCATAAGTTTCTAAAATCTCCCGAGCAACAGTCAGACCAGCAATGAAATTCCACGTCATATTATCCTCAACCTTGTCGTCAGAAAACAGATCCATCCCAAACGGTGTGAGGGAATGCATCTGGGTCTGCAAGCAAATGGACCAAGAATAGTCAAAAAAATATCACGTGTCGAGGTTAAGATCAATATTGATCACACTTGCCATTTTTAGCTTCTTCGTAATAAATTTCAGTTTTTTTTTTTTGGCATAAATGCTACAAGGTATAAAGAAGGCAAACACCAAAAGTGGCAAAAGTCAAGCAACTTTGGTAATTTAGGAAAGATGCAAAGCAGTACCATATAGTGCATGTCAGGGCCATCATCATCAATTATGATAAGAGCACCACCTGCTGGAGCTCCTGTGCACACGATTTCAACCTTCCCACCAACTTGTGTTCGCAACAAAGAACCTTCAATTAAGTTGCTCAAGGCCTGCCGTAAAGCAGGCTCTTCAACAGCAACTTGCAAAGGCCTAGATAGTTCAGATACGCTTAAATATCGGTGCTGCATATGAGCCAGATGTTCCACACCCGCAACCAAATCATTCAGAACATCAGAAACATTGCATGGCCGTCTGATGCAAGCAAATAGTCATTGCAATACTTAAAATAACTTTAAAAGGATTAATTATAAAATTTCAGATATCTAACATTAATGAACAACCAAAATCTGATTGGAATATGTAAAAACTAGTTCAATACAGTAAAGACTCCAAGAGAATGAAGGGCTGTCTATAATAAAAATCAAAAGGACAAATCAGTGACAATCTGCACCAAACATAAAGGTACCCAACTTTACAAATTTAAGGGACCAAAACCAAGACGAAAACAATTCAAAATTTTAGTTTGTTTGGCCCAATTCAAAGTTGAGGTTAATAAAGTACTTAGTGTTCCATACAAGTCCAGAAAGAGCGGGAATGATTTTGTGAAACAAAATCCTGTTTCTGGTCCATCTTTCAACATCTACCAGCATTGTCATTATGCATTATTAGAAACTAGAAATCAGGTAACGATATAAATTGATAAAGAGTTTTCTGCACTGAAAAAGGATACCTGACTGCTTTCTGCTTTAAAGGTGCGAGTGCAAGGGGTGGCATGGGAATTTCTGAATCCTTGGGTGTTGAATTGAGAGATAATGCCTCATAAGATTCTAGTGTTTCATTGACTGAGTTAGAGGCACCATAATAAGTTGGTGCGTGCATCTTCTTCAACCCTCCATTATTATGAATTATATTAGCCTGAAGAACAAAAAGCTAACAGTTGGAAAATCCATATGACTATCACAAATTATTCTAAAACTATTAGCAAATTTAGCATGACAGCTTCAATAGAATCAGGAATTTAACCTTGAAAATAAAGCAATCACTGCATCAAACTTCAGGTCGGGGAGTCTTCTCAAGAAGAAAATGCAAAGATTTTTCCTTTTTACCTTTCATATGAAGTTTCAGGATTCAAAAAGAGAGTATGAGCTCATGTACATATAAACACATTGCTGACATAAATTAAAGACCACAATATTTTAGGATAAAATGCATTTGACAGACAGATCCTGCAAACAAGTTAAAATGCAAGGCCTAACTCCATCCAGGCTGGGAAGGATAGGGAGAAATAAGCTATACTAATAGCTCAATTCACGAACCAAACCCCATGCTTGATTACTTGTTGAAATTCACAATAGGACAAGAAACCATTGTAAGATAGGCTTTTCCCACATTAAGCGGGAAAACTGAATGCATGCTTGATGAAGGATAGATGACCCACCTTAGTCAGGTAAACAGCATCCTGAAGTTGTTGAAGGACATCTTTAATATGATCACCTTGGACTAAAATGTCTTGAACAATATCAAAGGAGATCTGCAGTCTCATGTTAGTGCTATGTTAGAAAGCTAAAAAGACGTATAAAAACAACTATGTGATGGTCAATGTGTAAATTCCACGAAGATGATGAAAACGTACCTCACTTCTCCTCATGTGAACAGATAGCATTTTACTCAAGGTCTGAATGCTAGAAAGTGATCCCCGGATCTGAGTATAGGAGATCATCATGAACCAATAGAAGTTTTAAATTTCATATGACAAACAAGAAAATTAACACCAGGACAATGTCTTACTTGTTCAACCAGGCTACTCATTCTCACGTTATTTTGCCAAGATGAGTGCTGGAGCAATATTGCTTTCTGAACAGCAAGATTGAAAAAATTCGTTACAAGAGGTAAAATACAAAGGAAACAACAAGGGTCTTCAGATTCAATTATCACATCCTATTTTAGCAGTATGGATGCATCTCTTGTCAGTGAAGTCCAACTTTCAGGTTATTAGATATTGCCATCTAACAAGGATCAAATCCCATTCGGTGCTGATCAAAAAGCTTAAATACACCAGAAACTCCTATTTAAATTTTTTAAAATAATTGGGTAATTGTGATACTAATGCCCATATACACAATGCCTGAACAAAGCAACAATGTTTTGACCTTGTTTATGGAGAAGCCAAACGTGCAATTCTAGATATGACACTAAGAGTCAGTGAGGAATGAGAACAGTGAAGTTTTTTTGCCCTAGTTTTTATGATATATTAACTATTCAACAGAAATGCAGAGATGTAGAGATAAATATCCAACAAAAAAGAATTTCATATTAGTAAATAAACAAATATAAAACTCTAATATTCTGAAAATAACCTGATCCATGACATAGGCCATTGTAATAGAACGAGAAATATTCTCAGCATTCAATCTTTGTTCAGTAGTGAAGTATAAAATCTCGTTTGACTGGCCCTTGTCATATGTTTGTAATTCCAACAGTTTTGAGTCCTCGCTATTGGGTAAGTAGCAAGATTCACCTGTGGATGGCGTTGGTTCTCCTCCCAATATCATTTGCGGAAACTCAGCAACCAAAAACCCCACAACAAATGGATGCTTCACCATTGGGAAAACCACAGATCTAAGCTCAGGGAAAATTTCTGCCTAGAATGAAAAACAGTATCCATCAGAAGCCCATGAATGAAATGAGCAAAATCTCAGTGTCAATCAACTAATAATCATACCGCTCGGCTCGAAAGGGCAGCTTCTGCGACTCTCAGACCTGCGGGAATCCTAAAATCACCCACTAAAATCACAATATCAGCCGTAGCATTAACCAGAGGATGAAAAGTAATGCGACGCAGTTCCAGTCTATCCATAACATAGCTACCAGCTGGTCTTACATAGATCTGCAAATAACAAAACCAGCATCAGAATATGCTCAACATTGAAGCATGCGAGCTCAAATGACATTCACCAAATTTCTAATAAGATGATCACTTGATTCATTATGTTTATACTAAAATGAAATAAGCGCAACTTAAAAGAAACAAGAATCAAAAGCTCAAATTTTTTTTTGTATCAAATTCAGTTAGTAACAAGCTAAAAATGAGCAATTCATATGGAAGCTGTTTACGAACCGAACATTATCTGTTTCCGGGCAAATTTGTGAGCTCTAGTCGAATAGATAAATTGAGCAACACAGGCTTTAATTAACCCAATCTACTCTGAGCAACCCCTAACTGCGAAATCAACAGATACTTGATCATCGAAATTTTGGCATATCAACTACTAATAATGAAGCACATTTTAATAATGAGGACAAAGAAAGTACTAGTAAACCTGCTCGAATTAAGTTAAAGCTAAAGTGACAAACAATAAGCTCAAAAATAAAAATAAAAAGAAAAAAGAAAAAAGAAGGAACAAAAAGAAAGTAGAAGTGAAATTGGTAAGGGAGATTACAGAGAGGAGAGCGTCGGAATGAACAATGCGGCGAAAGAGGTCCAGTTGTTCAAGACAAAGTCTTTGAAAGTCAACGCTGGGAAGCACCAATCCTCCTCCGTGGCTGCTGCCACCGGCTTTCTCTATCCTTTGGACGAACTCCACGGGTGACGTGGAGACTTTCTTAATAATAGCCGCAACAGCATTTGCGGAAGCCACCATATCCTGATTGGCCTCTTCTCCTACTCCGACACTGTTAGAGTCGTCATTATCGTCATCGGCGGGGGAGTAGGTGGTGGCAGTGGTGGTGACGGGACGCAAGGGCGGCGCAGAGGAGGAGCCGACTGGAAGAGAAGGAGGTCGTTGGGCAGCGGTGGCTCGGCAGAGGGAGGAAGGATTATTGTTTGGTGCAGCGGGAATAGAGAGGAGATTAGAAGTGGTTTGGCAGGGAAGGTTAGGAGGATTGAATAGCGCGGTGGTGGTTTGCGGCAGCGGCGGATATGGAATTGCCGAAAGCATCATCGCCGCAGAAGTTGTCTCTCTTGATTAGCTATTCCTACCAGTAGTAAGTAGTAACTAGTAAGGGAAGGAATCAATTTCAGTCATTTGTTTTGATGGTCGGGACTGAATCCCAGCAGCCAGCCACTGCAGTCCAGTCCAGTCCAGTCCAGCTCCACCGCTCCACCCAATACTACTCACTACTCAGCTGCGGCTGACTGATGAGCGATGATGATGGAAACGGCGTTGGTGTGACGTGTTGAAATCCGAGTGGTTATTAGAGGCTAAAATAGCAGGGCCCACCATTATTAGGCTGCGGCTCTCGTTAGCCTTAGCCCGCCGTTGGTTGCTTCACATGTACGTATCCGTTCACTTGCCGTGACTTACTGAGCATTAAAGAATACTTCACCTCACCCAACCTAACACATAAGCAAGTACTAAGTAGTACATACAACTTATGCATGTGAATGTTTATTGTGTTAAATAACGTGTAATTTTTAAATTTTTTAAGTGTATTTATCTTTTTATTAAGTTCATAACACAAGCCAAAATGACTAATTTATTTTATTTTTTTTTTTAAAATACAAAAGCTATCAAAGAGTATCAGTTAAATTATTTGATATTTTGGTAAAAGTGCTTTTGACACCAAAATTTCTGTCGCTAAATTTATGATTTGATGTACATTAAACACTTCAAAACACTTTTATGGAGTGTCATTTTTTTTAAAACAAAAGTACCGCACTCACTCCCAGACGGGCTTTAATAATTCCAATTAATTTTGCAAATTTAAGGTCTTTGGTTGAACAATTAATGGTTCTATAGTTGTCCAACATTTTTTTGGCCCTTCCTAGTGATGCTCCTCGTATTCAAGATCATTGCTATGATATTTTTGCCCAAAAAAAATAGTATTCATTTAATTTTTCATGGACTTGTACGTCCTCTTTTAAAAGCAGCACAATTATTGAGCTTTGTCAAAGAAGGATAAGCACCCCAAACAATTCCTCCTACGTGGTTTTGAAAAATTTTGCCAACATAAAAGGATCAAATCAATCTGGTAAAGGAAGTCTATTCGGAGAACCCACGAACCTGTGGCCAACTCAACCTTTTAAAGCCATTATTTTATTTTTCCCCTTTTTGGCCGTATGGAAATTTCATTCTGAAAATATTTCTGCGCCTTTCCTACTTGCAAGAAAATAGGCATCATCAACGAGCAGGCCAAATTTTGGGATCTATAGGACCAAAAAAAAGGGTTAATTCCACTTTGTTCCCTCAAACTTTGGACGATAACCCACTTAAGTCCCTAAACTTCAAAGTGAGATACTTAAATCCCTAAACTTTTAATTTGCTCCCAGTTAAGGAAAATTGTTGACAGAATCCTGAATATCGTTGGTGGTCAAAGAGCGTGACAAACACCAGATTTTGACCGAGGGCAACAATGAAAATTCACAAAAATCACATATATAGATTAAAAAAAGGTGGTGAAATATGGAGGGAAGGTTTCCCTCCATGCAACCCACTTCAGATGGATAATGTAGACCCGATCCAAATCATAAAAGGGCACTTCAGGTCGGTATGCTGAGAGACCCAAGTTGTCATTTTGCTGTCCACAAGGCAGGAAGAATAAAAGGAGAACCCAACGCATGGTTCAACAAACAAAGAGAAATGGTGAGGCAATTTTGTGATTGTGGAAAGCAAACATTGATGATGACATCATGGACTGCCATGAACCCAGGAAGAAGGTTTTATTGATGTGCCAAGTACAGAGTAAGGGAAATTAGGGTTTTGTGTTTATACTTGTTTTTTATTTTTGGTTTGTACGAATTGTAGCCACCTAATCTTGTCTGCAAACATAATGTTCTTGTCAAACTAGGAACAAGGAGGCTGCATATACTGGGATTGGGTTGATCCTGAGATGTGTCAAAGGTCAAAAGAAATAATACCTGGACTGCTAAGGTCGATGAACAAGATGGAAGCTGAGTTGGACAGGTTGAAAGAAAATTCAAGGTGCCAACAATCGAAAGTGAGGAAGCTAAGATGTACTTGATTATCCACTGGGTTGTCATTGTCATGTGGTTGTTTTTGTTCAAATCTGGGGGAGAACGTCCAAAATGAGTTTTCCAGAAGAAGCAACCGCTTATGTCGGACTACCTGTTTTGTTTACTCAAATATGGGACCACCTTTGTCTGTCATTGCTAAGTAGTGGACCTTTTGAGTGGTGCAAGAAGGAAATTCTTACTTTTGCTGACTATGTAATTACCAGCACTTTCCCTAAAAGTGTTGGTTTTATATGTACTGTATCAAATTTAGGGATATAGTGGACCTGCTATGTCCCATAATTGTGAACGTTGGACCTGCTATGTAATCAGAATTTGTTGTTTAGGGATTTTAGTGTCCCAATTTGTGAAGTTTATTGTAAGTAGTTTATGTCACATTAACAACAGCAAACAATAGTCGTACCAGAACATAAAATTTTCAGCAAAAGCCTTTGATCATTCAACAAATCATCCAATACACAATAGCAATACCAGGAATGACAAAAATCCACATTAACAACCTCTGCATTTCACCTATCTGGACTAGCAGAACAAAGGCTATACGAGTTCCAAAACAGAGGCTACCAAAAACAGAGGCTAACAAAAATTTCAAGTTAACAAAAAAAATCATAGTTCCAATGGACTATATGAGTTGAACAAAAGTTTGCCACATCTGGACTAGCAAAACAGAGGCTTTTAGTTGCCTAATTTGATTGTATCTACAAAACAAAAAAGGCTATATGCCTGTACAATTCTTGAGTTGGTTTGTCCAGCATCAGTCAGTTCATGCTTGAAGGCTATTTGACATGTTGCTGCAATTTTCCCAACTTAACAGATTGGTTTCCATCCCCAAGGAGCTGCACATTTTCAATTCCAGGTGACTCCTTCGCGTGTCTAGCAGCTGTCTGTAATGTAGATAGGTTAACACACGAATTCCCCTGTCATGTGAATTGTGCTGGCTTAAGTCCACTGCTGGAATGAGAGGCTGTTCCCAAGTCCACGTATGAGTGTGGTGCTCTCATCGTTACTCCGTGGCTGTGGGAATAAAGTTTGCGACCATTAGCTTTGGAGCTTAACTGCAAACAAGCACATAACATGAATCAATAAGCCGTGACACCCATAAATAAAGACCTGATATATGGAGACCATTTACATGAGTTGTTGTATGACTCTTTTCCACATGCTCAGAACTTTTTTGAGCATGCTTATATGGGTTTTCCAGATCATCAGACCGTATTTTTACAGTTTTGAATCCCAAGTCTCCAGTCATGTCCAGTGAGCTGCTAAAGGTCCATTGCCTCAACTTACAATTATTCTTTGAGTGACCATGCTTACGACAGAATGAGCATTTTCTTCTTTTCTTTGTCACTGGTTCTTGTGCCCCATGTTTTGGCTGATTGGCATTCAAATTTTGAGATGGACCTGTGTGACTCTGTTGCATACTTACTCCAACAATGTCAATGGTCACATCAGTTGGACAAGCCTCTTTAGTATTTGGCTGCATAGATGGACCTCCATCTCCAATATCACTATTCTCCTTTGCTGAACTTGTAGTTGTCCCCTCAGTAGTTTGCTTATTTTTATCCGGACATCCTCTCTTGTTATGTCCGTATTTTTTGCAGCGGCTGCAGCTCATCATGGTGCCAACCTTGCTAACCTTGTGAGGTTTAGTTGGATTGACACAGCTGTCCCGTCTTTCTTCTTCTGAAGCTTTTTTTCTCATCTTCTTCGGCCTTCCAGCAGATCTTCTGTAAGTCGGAGGCTTCATTGCTGGAAGATCTATGTGCTCCCACAAATTAGGACCATCGATTGGATTAAGTACAGGTTCATAACTTCGTAGATACGTATTCTTCAAGTAGGTGTTGGAAACATGCTTCTCTGGTGCATCATGTCTCCTGTTGATGGCAGCTACAGCATGGCCACATGGTATTCCCCTTAATTGCCACTTTCTACATGAACAGGTTTTGGCAGCCATGTCAACAATGTACTGTTCCCCAAATAGACAGCTTATCTGATACTTCATTGTTCCAGCATATGACGCTATGCACATACACTGCTCTTGTTTAGCCTTTTCCAGTATCTCAAATATTGCTGGACAAAGGAGACCTGAATACAAAATGAAAACAACAAATTGGTCATAAATTTCTCAAAGTTACGAACTGAACTTAATACTAGTAAATTAAATGTTTCTAAACCTTCGTGCTTGGACATTGATTCCCTGTTCCTCTCCATCCTCTTCAATAGGTACAAATAAATGGTCTGCAGCATAGATATGATTGGTAGTGACCTGGCCTTTAAAATTACTGCATTAAAGGACTCACACATGTTATTCACCAAAATATTACAATCCAATCCACATCTGAAATGGGCTCTACACCAAGTTTTGGGATCTTTTTCATCAAGCCAAGAATGCGCAGCTGCAGATTCTTGCCTCAACTGCTCCATTTCGACTTTCTAGTGGGTAACATAAGAAGCTTTTGCGCATTTCCAAAGTCTTTCTTTTAAGGCCAGGCCTCAACGACTTTCAGGTATGCTCCTTGCTAAGTGTCTTGATCTGGAAAGTGTTTTCACCTTGCATTTTTGAGCCAAAAATTTGCCATTCACAGCCTCTACATTTCACCCGTACCCTATATGTGTCATTTTTTATGAACTGGACATCCTTTCCCTCCATAATGGCTTGGATTCTAACAGCCAACCTAAAAATAACAACTGATGAAAACCTCTGGCCTACCTTAAATCTTGGATTTCTCATTTCAGTTTTCTCATTAAAAACTGAAAATTTAGGCTTCTTATTCCTCTTAGGACCATCTTCATTTTCGGATTCACTCTCACTCTTCAAATCTGTAGAACAATCTATTTCATATTCTGACTGCATATCCTCCACATTAACCATGTCAGGCTCATCACAAACATTTACTTCATCAACAGCTTCTCTTTTCCTACTTGCTCTCTTTTTTCTTGTGTCTTTGCTGGTAGAATGTCCAACTTCAGGAGCTCCTTTATGTACACCAAACTGTTGTCCAATCTTCAAGGCTTCATCAAATAAAACATCCTTCTCAACTTGCCCCGTATAATCTGGATCATCGAACTTGTCATCAGCCTGCACATCATTATCAGCCTGCACATCAGTCTCATTAGCCTGCATATCATTATCAGTTGCCATTTGTGATTCTTCCCCTGCATTATCTCCCTTGTTGTCCTTCTCTTGTTGCAAATTAGGACTTTTGGAATCAAAATTCTCATGACTGTTTGCAGCAACTTCATTACTGTTGTCATCAGCCACATTTTTCCTTCTGTTGTTCACATCGTTGAAGTCAACTTCTTCCAGTATTGCTATGTCACTGTCCATTTCATATGTTTCTTTCTCTTTTGTAGCCTGCTTGGTAGAAGTGTTGTGGCCTTCAGGCATGTCTCCATCATCTATTTTTTGAGTTTGAAGCCTCACTGGATTATCATCAGTTTCAACTCGTAGATAAACCTCTGCCACTCTATTGGATAGCAATGTGTTTACAAGTAGATCACAATCCCAATCACACATGCAAAAATATAGTCCAGTCTCAAGTGGCATACCAGGAATCCTACCATACCACCCAAAACGAGCATCTTTCGGGTATCCTAGTCTTACTGCACATTCATCAAGCACCTGTAGTGACCATTTTTCAGCATTACAGTTGTCTATATAGTCTACCCTTCCCCCCACGTATTCTTTGCTGGGAGAACTTCTGATGGTGTATCGCCAAAGAAAATGGATCGGGCCAAATGTCATTTGAACCACACTCTGGTTAAATAAAAAAAAATCATTAATAATTAACCCATTAATTATTTACAAAATTTTTAGCATTTGGGACCACAATGTCTTCAACAGAAGGAACATCAGGGTTCCCACAATACTCACTTTTTAGTAAATTATGCAGACCCACTAACAGTACCATCGAAAATATATAATGCCTTGGACATGCATTCCACAACCATCCAAAACCTTAACTTTTCAACAATCCCTACGGCTTTAAAACGTTTTTCTACTGCTACCCCAAATTCTTACCCAAATTTCGATTCTTAAATTCAATTAAAGTACACAAAAAGCTGTAAAATATTTTTCTCATACCAGTACTTGTCTTCTCTTTTGCTTTTTGTTGTTTCGCTGCGGATCCGGACACTTTTTCTCTCACATTGACTCGCTTCCTTCCAATTCTTGCAATCTTCAGTGTTTTTCAGCAACAATCATTCGAATTTTTACATACTTTGGTTTTTCCCCTCCTCTCTATTTTTTCGTCCAAGACAGAGGAAAGAAATGACCACTATCTGGGTTTTTCCCTCCTTTGCAATTTTTTTCCTTTGTTTGTCCTTAATTTACGACCCAAATTTACGTTTATGTCCTTGTCATTTTCAGTAACAATATTCCCCCACCTTCATTAACGGAGAGTGTTTGCCACGCTCTTTGACCACCAACGATATTCAGGATTTTGTCAACAATTTTCCTTAACTGGAAGCAAATTAAAAGTTTAGGAATTTAAGTGTCCCACTTTGAAGTTTAGGGACTTAAGTGGGTTATCGTCCAAAGTTTGAGGGGACAAAGTGGAATTAACCCCAAAAAAAATTGTCGGATCTAAGCCGAAGGCAGGAAGTACGTGTTCAAACTTGTACTCCCAACGGCTCGGAGACAAAAAGATCAAAACAATCCTTTTTGTTTTGACTTCCTCAAAACCTTAACTGCCCTGCATTTTTTACACTTTGAAGTTTGACCACCTCCCTTTCACTTTCAGTCAGTCTCCCTCTCTGCCTTAAACTTCCCCATTTCCCACAATTTGACACACATACGTAACAGTGCTCACCCAAATTTCTAGCCGTTAGAACTCAGAACTCTCCTTTTATCGGTGTCCTTCCTCCCTTCATAAATGTGAAGCATTTTCCCGTTTCTTGCAGCCATTTTTTTTCTCACTATGGCTAATCGCCCAGCTGCCCCAACAAGCGTTTCGAGATCTACGGATACCATAATTGACATTGCAAGTATAAAGATGCAGTCTTGTTCTGATTCTTCTGAAAATCGGGAAGGGACTGACAAGAACACAATCCCAATTTTGGGTTCTTCCTGTTCACTGAAAAGAAAGAGGCCCCCCAAGATTGAGATCCCAAACGTCTTGCGCGAAATTTTTGTCGGTAAAGAGCTTAGTCTCAGAGAATGTGCCCCCCAAGAAAATGCCGTGTGCTCTGGTGGTTATGGTGTTGGTGTTTATTCTCTCAAAGGCAAGAAAAAGTTCATGGAAGATGCCCACAAGATTGTTACTTGCTCATTTAACAAAAAGGTATCTAGCCTTGAAGGGTGGTTTGACTGTTGCTTCTCATTTCTTGTTTTGGTTATGTCTGTCAAAAAAATGGACTTTTTATTTATTTAATTCTTTGGGATAAATCGTAACTTGTAAGTTCTTGAATTTCTTGGAGTAATGTAGGGATTTTTTGGGGTATATGATGGACATGGGGGTAGTAAGGCTGCAGAGTTTGTAGCAGAGCATTTGCACTCAAATATATATGAAATGTTGAAGAATTCTTCCGGAAATGCACCAAAGGAAGAAGATATTAAAGCAGGTTATTTGAAAACTGATGAGGATTTCTTGAAGCAGGTAATGTAAAAACTTGGCAAGTTGGTCTTTTATCATTTTTAGTTTATATGTTGTTTGTTCGTTGAGGAAAAAGTCGACGAGTTTTTAAGGTAATACTAAAATACTGGTGTAACCTCCCCACGGTTCTAGGTTTCTCATATTCTAATTTTCTTCTTTTGACTACCAACCTTTATGGTACATGATAGCTGCCTTTATGGTCCATGATAGCTGCCTTGACTAAGAGTGGAAATTAGTGACCAAAGTGAATCTGGATGGTCTTACAGATTACAAGCATGAAGCATCCACTGCGCGTTTGGGCATTTAACCTCGTTCAAGACTAACTTGCTCATTGACATAGGATTTTGGTTACATAGATCAGTACCAGTTAGAAATCAGATATGGCAGAATCTGGGGTTCTGAGGGCTGCCTTAAAAGAATCATCTGATTATTTTGTCTAGAGATAGAACGGCCTGAAATTTTAACGGTGCATTTGATTAAGCAGTCAGATTATGTTCAAAATGGGTTAAAACTACGTAGTGCTTTTCTATTTATACAGAGGATCAAGACTCAGATCAATAAGAGAATCTCTTTTTTATGATGTTGGATGAAGTTGCAGCAATTCAGTTGGAAAGATTAAAGAAGCCTTACTTTTCCTTATTTCTCTTTAATTCTGCTGATTTTGTCCGTATATTGTTGCCTTGGCATCGATGTAACTTTATGAGTGGCATAACATAAGCATCCTACCGGGGAAGGAGGAAAGGAAATAATGCTTGAGAGCGAAAAGGAAGATAAACGTTTTCTATTTTCAAGGAGTTTTATGGTAGTATATTGGTAGCATAACTGTAAACAATTAATTTAATCTTGTAATTGAAGAGCTTATTACCTCTTTTTTTACAAGTTAAGGTGTAAAGTATGACTTGATGAGCCAAACAGTAAAGCACGGATCTGCACTCATTTGTCAAATGAGTATCTAAATGTGGTTGTTTGCATGGCCCTATACAAAATATACACATGCATTTTGTTGTACATCCACATGCAAAGTATATCTATTAATAATGGAGGAATGATGTCAACTTTTTGCAAACTAACCAACTACTTGAAGGTTCATGAATGACTGACTTGCCTCTATACATTGTTGGTAGCACAGGTGATTCTGCTTTACTAGTTTATTCAAAATGAAACTATAATGAAATGGCCTAGAACAGAGATTTGCATATTTTTTTAAGTAAACATCAATAGGATGTTTCAGTTTCCCAGAACAAGGTTCTCATTTTTTCAGCTAGACTATTACAGGGCTTAGGTAGTGGAGTCTGTTGCGTTACTGCCTTGATTGAAGACAAGGATATTGTCATTTCAAATTTGGGAGATTGTAGAGCAGTATTATGTAGAGGAGGAGCAGCTGAAGCCCTCACAAAAGACCATAAGGCAGGACTGGAGGATGAACGTAGAAGAATAGAAGATAAGGTACTTATGAAAGCATTCTTGGGCTTTTGTTAACATTAAGCAGATGAAGGGCTTAGTGATGAGCTAAACTTCTTTTAACTTGCCATGCAGGGGGGTTTTGTACAACATCATCGAGGAGCTTGGAGAGTTCATGGGATACTTGCTGTTTCTAGAAGCATTGGAGATGCACATTTGAAGGATTGGGTACCAGCTGAACCAGACACAAAGATCATATCTTTAACCAAGGATATGGAATATCTTGTTTTAGCATCTGATGGACTTTGGGAGGAGGTAATTAAGTATATTTAGTTATAAAATCTTGTTTGGAAAATCCAGTGTTAGGAGATGAGAATGTCAGGGAAAGAGCTACTGATGCTCACGTCCACTAGATGCCATTATCCTTTCCATTTAGGATTCTAAACGGTGAGTGCAATTATAAAGGCAGCAAGTAGTGGATTCCTCACATGCCTAGGTAGTTTGCTGCATTCGCCCATAAAAATATCACCTTACCTTTTATTTTTTTTGGTTCCTCTTTCTAATAGTGGGTGGAAGGGGGTTGTATTATAGATCATGAACATTCTTCCTATTATTGTTCACATTTAATTTGGATAGTCTTTGGATTGATGGAGCCTCAGTTGCTGTGTGTACTAGACATCACTTACATTGTTACCCAAATGAATTATCTCGAGTAGGTTGGCAATCAGGAAGCTGCAGATATTGTGGCACGATCATGTTCGCGTGAAGAGAAAGCTATTTCAAAGGAGAGTACTGATGAGTATGGCAGGATAAACTTGAGTCCTTCTCCAAAGTTGCGCAGAGTGTCTCTCAAGTCAAAAAGGACTGGTCAGTTCCCCAGCTCCAAGAGAACAGTAGAAAACTGGAATACAAGTGAAGCTAACTTCAGTAGTGAAAATGATAGCCCTCGATCCAAGGCTCAGCGAATTTCACTATCAAGCCAAGCGAATATGAAAAGTACACATCCAAGTCATGAAAATAGTATCTTTGGAACCAAGCCTGCTTGTAGTAGACTGGTGGCAGCATGCAAGGAACTTGTTAACTTAGCTGTAAAGAGGGGTAGTTTGGATGACATTACTGTGATGGTAATCGATTTAAATAGTTTTAGAAACTAAAGTAATTTTGGCTGTCCTTGATGTTTGAATAAGTATGTCAACATTGTACATGTTCAGCTTTAGAGTCTGACCAATCATGCAGGTTATGGCTGAAATGAGACAGCGCCTACATTTTTTTCCCAGTATGAACCATGGTTCTCATCTTTGTCTGGTGCTGGTGCTTATGCTGATGCTGAGCCCATTGCCATTGACATCCATAACTAATTTATGAACACTGTTTCATTAAGCTAAGCATTGAGGTTTACATAGAATCATGCATAGAAACCGAATTAGCAGATTTGGACATTGGTATTGTTCGTAAACCATGTAATTCTAGTCGATCCAAATTGCTGGCAAAGCCACATTATTTAAGTTTACTCGTGAATAAGTTTAGCCGCCATTCGTTTTCAAGCTGGAATCACTGCTCAGGGCCTCACTATTTAAGGCCCTGCTATATATTTGGGTAGCCTTAGTAGAAGAATTAAACCAAAGAAACAAGAGAGAAAGAAATGCACTTGCAGCAAAGCTCCAAATTTCCAAGCAAATTGATATCGTGATCAATCAATTTTTGTTGAAATCCAGAACTGACATGATTGAGCAACGCATTGTTCTTTTCAAAAACCCAACAATTAGGAACAAGAGAAAGAACGTGACAGAATCCAAAGATTTATGGTTCCATCCTGTGGCATGCCAAACTCAATGAAACGGTAGGGTCTGAAAAGGAACCGTTGGCAATCTGATCAAAGATCCACTTGTTCGCTGCCTCAGTAAAGTGAACGCCATCCCAATTAATCCTAAGCGATGGATCTTTGCAAGATTTTGCTATTACAATCTCTGTGCCATTGACAATTTTCTTACTTCCACATTTAATGAATCTGTTGTAGTTAAATTTCCCGCCATGACCACAGCAAGCAAGAAATGGATTCTGAAATCCTGCCAATATTCCATTCGAAAGTATACATTCGCATCAAAAGAAAACCAAAAAAGAGGAACACCGCTGATATCAAGTAGCAAAATAACAGGAATTAATTCCATTACAAATAAGAAATGGAGTGCATAACTTGTTGATGCTGCAATTTAAACAGCAACTTCAAACAACTGACTCCCCACATTGATTATTGTTACTGATATTAACAAGTTACCTAGCTTCCTTGCTTGACTGATGAGGGAATACTTCACTGAGTAAATGTCGACATAAGTAATTGCAGCTAATGGAAGGGCCTTTCTGAGTTGAACAATAGCTTCCTTCAACCGAAGATTGAAGTATTGAGCGACCTCATTGTATGGACTAGCACATCCATACTTATCAATCTGAGCTGCTGTGACTGGAAAACGGTCCATAACATAAGGTAAACAACCTACCGGTCCGGTGTTGTGAATCCAAAATGATCATACACATTCTGTCGTGTCGAGCACGGTAATAAAACTTTCAGAGATGATAATTCGAGTTAAACTGCAATCACTAGCTAGTAATAGTAGCAAATTTGTGGATTATGTTCCTTACTTCGATAACCTTGGACAACTGACCCAACACATCGGGAACATATGCCTTCACTTGTTCAGTAGACATGTTAAGTTTGTAACCAGCAGTATCTGGCCGATATCAAAGGTGTACAGCGCACGAGGAAAATCGTTCTCCTCTGGCAGCAAGAGCTCAAATACCCCACCTATATATGCAAGAAAATGAGCTTATCAAATCTCGTATGCTAATTAGGCTTATCATCTGAGCAAATGCAAGAATTTACCTACCTTGTTTACGTACTATTTGAGACCTTGCGTGAAAATCTGAATACTGAGTGAATTGCACACCCAGTGAAATGGGGCTATATCCACTCTGGAAAATGGTAGTGTTTTGTGGTCTGATTGTTGATCCAGCTGTTGCAAAATTAGCTCCGTGGCTGAAGTTGGAACCAACCGAATCAAGATAGGCGCTAAGGTAACGCAATCCCAAGCTCTCAGCTGACAACCAAAATACAGCAGCTTGTAACCACAACTGAAGTGACAAAACATCTCAAAAATGCATCGTCGTTAACTTCAATGTGGTATGCGATCACGAACGAAAAAAGACTGATTAACTCAAGGTCTCAAAGAAATTAAATTAAAAAAAAAAGCTCAAGTGTGGAGTTGGGATTTGACTGTAAATGATTATAACAATCAATATTTTACAGGATTGAATATCATAACAAAAATGCAAGGTTGTTAAACTATTACATTATTTATTATTATATGCACCTTAACTCTCCCTGTTCAGTCAATCATGTGACACAAGTAAACAAACAAAAGAATACATGTAGGTATCAGCTGATGATAATATACCGCACAGAAGAAGACAAATGCATGCTAAGTAGTAGAATTGTAGATGGCAATTCAAATGGTGAATCTTTGAATAAGAGATCAAATTTAAAATTTGTAGAACAGCTTTGGACTTGTGTTTGTAGTGTTACCTATGAAGTCAATGACGAGGCGGCCATCAGAAAACCGACCGGCCGGAGAGTGAAAATACGTTTCTCCATTGGGGGGAGAGGCTTGCCCGAAGGCTGCTGAGAGGCCACCGGTATCGGAGTTTGAGTCCCCAGAGTTGAATATGGCCGGAAAGTTGCACTCGGTTAAAGTTGGAGCTGATGAGCAAACTGGACCAAGCAGTAATATCACCAGTAGTAAAAGGATAAGAAGATCATAGGATAAAAACCTCAGGTTGTGAGAATCCATCAGCACCAGCAAAAGCTACACGGACGAATACACTCGATGAGCAATGCTGTCGAAAGTACTACAGTTGATGACACGATATTTTACTAATACCAATAGAAGGTTGAAAGGGAAGAGGTAAACAAATCAATGTTTGAATTTAAAATTTGTGATTTTCGTACGTCTACCATTTCTTTTACTAAAATGGTCATTCAATTAAGAAAAGCGTAGATTTGTCGTCACATGACTAATGAAAATGTACATTTATTGTCACTTAACGAATCTAAGCTTGTAAACATTTTTTTTTTTTTGGTCAAAAGAATCATATTTTTATTATTAATTGAGTGACCATTTTGAGTAAAAAATAAAATAAAAGAGTTTAGTGATCAAAATATGCTAGTATTTGAAAATTCCATTTGCACAATTTTCTCAATTCTTGTTTTTGTGATTGATATCACAAGAACTTGCTAGTATTTATTTTAATGATCCTCATGGTGGATTTGGGGCTTGAAAACAGAAATTATGGATCCAAAAGTTAAGCCCATATGTCCGATGAATAACTAATAATAAACCAGCTAGGGATCGGCACTAGTGTATACTAACTTCTTAGGGCTGTATATTAAAAAATTTCAAATGAATAACTAATAACTTATATATTACCTCCTTGATCGCGTATGCATAAACACAACATCATCCTCAATTACTCCTCATGTGGAATTGGGACAAGTAGAGTTGAGATTGGGTGCATTTGTTATATTTCTGTCAAATGAAGTTGAGATCGTACTTTTACATAATTGCTTCCTCTTTGTAATATGATGATGTTTTAAGTTTGATTGCATTCAAATTTGGCTTGCCTGCGCTACAAATTCAAACTGGCTCGGGTTGAATTTTTATCAAGCCACGTTCAAACGGCACTTGAGTAGTAATTTGATCCACTTATCAAGCCATCATTAATACCTGAGTGCTTAAATCATTCATAAATTGATAGCAGAAAGAAAAAAAAAATGGAGGGTTGGAGCGTTTGTAAGCAAGTACCATCTGCTCCTCTTTTTATCCATTTCTCAGTAGCCCAAGAATTTTTGGAGTCTCTAACGCCTATGACAAGCCATTGTCAAAGGAATGACAGGGTCCGAGTACGAACCATCCACAATTCTATCGAAAACCCACTTATTAGCGGCCTGAGTATAGTGCACCCCGTCCCAATTGATCATCACCGATGGATCTTTACATGATCTTGCTATCATAATCTCTTTGCCCTTTACCTTAATTTTGCTTCCGCAACCGAAATGCGCATTGAAGTTGTATTTTCCCCCATGTCCGCAACAGGCTCTTAAAGGGTGCTCAAAACCTGCAACAATTGAATAAAATCATGCAAACATTTCTTGCCCTGAAAAAGTCAGTATATCAATGTCACAAGTATTTCGGTTGTGGGCTGGTAGTGTAATACACGTACGTACCATGCTTCCTGGCGTGGCTGATGAGATCATATTTCAAGGTATAGATGTCTACATATGTCAATGCAGCTTTTGGGAGCTCCTTCCTTAGCTGGAAAACAGCTTCCTTTAATTTCCAGTTGAAATATTGAGCCACATCGTTGAAAGGAGTTGCACATCCTGTTTCGTCAACTTGTGCGGCGGTGATTAGGAGACGGTCCATGACGTATGGTAGACAACCAACCGGACCAGTATTGTGAATCCAGAATGATCTGCCTCCTTGATCATATATTCCCTGCATAAAACAGCAGCAAAATCATGTATTTCGCAGTTCAAGCATTCATATTGATTTTGGAGGGCTTATCAAGAAATCACACGTGAATTCACCTTTATAATGGTTTTGAACTGATCTAGTAGTTCTGGAACATATGCTCTCACTTCATCAGTCGTCATGTTGAGGAAGTATCCCGAAGTTAAATCGTTTTGACCAATGTCAAATGTATACAAGGCTCGCGAGAAATCTTCTGCCTCCGGCATTAATCCCCCAAAAACACCCCCTGCAAAAATATTATGGTGTCTGATGTATGTAATAAACAGACAGACAAAAGTAGTGGTGAAGTGCAACGCATTGTATTTTAGCGTTTACCTTGGCTACGAATAATCTGAGACCTGCGATGAAAGTCATTGAATTGATAAAACTGTACGTTTAAGGAGATGGGGCTGAAACCACTCTGCTGTAGAGTTGTATTCTGGGGTCTAATTGTGGATCCAGCAGTTGCAAAATTGGCCCCATGAGTGAAGTTTGAACCCAATGCATCAAGGAAAGCGCTGAGATAAGGCAATCCTAAGCTCTCAGCTGAAAAATCAAAACAATTAATCAAAGTCATCAGTTCAGTAGTGAGTTGAGTATAATTTTACGCATTGGATTTGCATGGATAATCATATAATGGAACTTGCTACGTTAACTAACATGCCTGCTTCAGCAACTAAAATGATAGCAATCCTCCAATTTAGAAAAAGACAATAAT